AGTGGTACATAGAGACATAATAGAATACTATGCAGCAGTAAAGAATGATCTTGTAAAATACTATATAACTTGGGAAAGTCTAGAGAGCATTATGCTGAATGAAATAACTTAGTTACATAAGAATAAATACTCCATAGAACTATTGTGAAAATGGGAGGATAAATGACCAAGACAGGTAAATATGTTCAAAAGGGAAAGGGAGAAGGGAATAAGGGGAAGCAAAACAAGGAGAAAAGGGGGAAATCACTAGGCTAGCAAAGGTTACTGGACAGAGCTGGGTCTGAAGGAATAGGAAAGATTCAATGGGGATGAAAAGGCCTGGTATAATAGGGATAGATCAATAGTAATTAATTATTAAATATATTTTCATACAAATGAATGTATAAATCACAGTATCTATGACAAAACATAACATATAAGAATGGCTGCATGCAAAGTAATAACTTTAAAAAATAAATAAGTAATGGATATCACAGAAAAGTTTAAAACTAGCACCTATAAACCTGAATAAAAATTTGAAGCAGAAAACAAAACAAAAACCCCAAACAATAATCCTCATAACTGGACCAGTAGGCAACATCATAACTGACAAAGAAAAGAATTGGAAATCTTAACAATTTCACTTTACTTGGATCCACAATATGTTCATTTAAGCAGCAATCAAGATATCAAAGGATATATTCTTTATGGAAAATGTTCTGTCAAGGGTCTTTTTAAAGTGTTGCAGAATGAGGATATAACTTTAATGACTAAGATGTGCATGATCCAAGACATGGTATTTTTAATTGTTTTTTTATGGACTGACAGTTGGACATTTAATAAAGAATATTGAAGGATGATAAATTCCTTGCAATTGTGGCATTGTCTAAGACCACTGTGTATACTATGGACTGCCAAAAGAACAAATCTGTTTTAGAAGATGTAGAACCATGCTTGAAAATTGAAAGCACAGGAGTCCAAGATGATACCTGAAGATCAGGGAAGGTTTAGATCTATTGGACATAATAGGATTGCTTAGAGAAGGAAGCAACTCCAGGACACCTAACAATATTCTAACCTGGCAAAACAGCTTAGCACAGTAAACACATTATTTATCTAAAATTCTGTTAAAATGAAAGAGAATAAAAACAGCAATCTGGATAGTCAACAAAGCAAAAGTGTTTAGAAAAATACAAATTACCAGAAGCTCCTAAAATACTTTATTGGGTGGGGAAAAGTCAAATAAATTATGTTTAAAATTCCAGAGTTAATTCCAATTTACTTTCACCATACCAATATGTTCTTTGGTGATAGCCTAACTAATGCACAATTTCAAACTATGCATGCTTAATCTATAATTAGTCTAATAAATTAATAAAACATGTTAGTGGTTAAATTGTTTCTTTTTTGTCCAGTCACTACTGATCTATTTTAAAGGGTTTTATCGTTTCCTTCTATGGCAGAATTCACATATAAAACCGTCACTCTATCAGATTTCCAAGGGAGAATGGAGTTAATTTTTTGTGGCCCTGAAATAATAGAGTGAATCAAAAGTATACACATGTACAAGAGATATTTCAACAATCAATCATTTTCAAGTCTATGGTATGTGATCAAACAAAAAGTTTCTATTATGAGCAATGTTGTCCTTTTCCAGCATAGATTTTCACCCCAATCACTTTAAATAAAAAAAAATCAGAGTTTGGAAATCCTGGATGGTGCAACTGGTTTAACATACTTGCCTAATAACTGAACAGCTAGAACTTGGAATCAAACTTAAAGCCCCAGGAAAGAAAAGTATGACCATCTATTTCTGAAAAACCAAACATTGAAAACTCATGTTACACAGTTCATTTCTACTTTGACACATACGAGGTTTTACCAGGAGCCAGAAATGTCTCTAGGCAACTAGTTGGTTTGTTATTGTATATAATGGTAGTTGGCATTTCTTTGCACTTTCTTCATTTGCCAGTCTCAAGGATGTTAAGGAACATATGTGGAATGATTTTATCCTCTTTACTTCAAATGAATTGACAGATCTTTACAGGATTTGTTTTGGAAAAAAATTCTCAATTTTTATATAGAATAACAGTGATTTACTGTTGTTTACCTCTACGAACACAATTGCATTTACAGTAATACAGTCTTTTAAAGCAACAGATATGTAGTGGTAGTATTATAATTCATTCGATGACATATTAACTTATTCTATGTATGAATAAATGAGAAACTGACAGTTTAGTTCTGTATTCTCATTTTAATACAAGTTTGAGTTTTAAAAGTTGTACAAAAAGAACAATAACATATATATACACATACATGATTAGTTTTACTATTTCTTTCTGCTCTACACATTGGAAATATTTATATTGACTAATAAGGAATGCCAAGTGTATCCATCACCATTTGAATAGCTTGCAGGGGATTAGTGATTTCTTCCAGGCTATCTCTTCTTAAAAGCCAGTCCGGTTTGAGCCTGTGGGGGGGGAAACATGGCACTAATAAATAAAGATACTCTCTTTGGAAAGTTAACTTCACTTTTCTATTTAGACTAAAAAGTATCTATTCTTGAATACATCCTATTCTTAGAACCCTCACAGAGACATCCAAATGCTCATCATAATGTTGCCAATTAGTAACTTCAGTTTCTTTTTTTTCCATTTTCTTGAAAAAGAATCTTAGATCCCTTGAATTTTGTGCTATTTAGCTCTACCACTTTCTTTTAGACTTCTGTCAAATTTCCAATCTCTCTATTCCTCACCTACTACACTTCCATGTCATTAGCTTTAAAATAGTCCCTATCTCAACCTTCCATTCACTGACCTCTCCAATTTACTTGACTTAAAGTAAATTCAATTGTCATCTCTCAGAATCTTTGTTTTCACTTTTCTTTTGTCCAGGTTAAGTCTGTCAATATATTCACCTTGCAAATGCTTTTAACTCAATTGTTTCTATTTTACTGAGCTCACTTACTGACAAAATATAATGTACTACACAACCAGAAATGAGAGAACTCCTTAAATGTAGTTATACAATGCTTATAATTGGGAAAGTAAAAAAGCTTTACTCTCTCTATTGTTGATTGCCATCGTGACAAGCATGACTCCTAGTGACCATATGTACAAAAGGTCGGAAGCCTTTCTATTAACTCGACATTTATCAAAATCCATAGGGTTTCCAGAGGCATGTTGCTTAGGAAGGAGATGATACTCTTGCCACTCCTCCTACTCTGTCTAAATAGGCCTAAATTTCTAAAGCAGTACTTACTAAAATCATAGTAGACATTTCTTTTCAATAGACATTAACCAAGTTTTAAATGTCATCTGGAACAAAAGATCCAAGCAAGTTGTTGCTGTTATACACTATCATGTCAGAATTGACTCAAAACTGACCTAAGTGGATTTTCAAAGGCAATAAATCCCAAAGGAAGAAACTGGCTATCTTTCTCCCATGAAGCAGCTAGTGGATTTGAACCATGTGCCTTTGAGATGGCAGAGCAGCTCCTTAACAGTAGGCCACCAGGGAACTATTATTTCCTTAGATACCACAAATAGATAGTCTCAAATTCCTTCTACATTTATTAAAATGGGCATGAGCCATTTGTAGATATGCCACTACATCATGATGTAGTTAAATCAGTCACCCTAGATATAGCTTATAAACAAAGGGAGGGAAAAATAACTTGGTCATTTCCCTTGACTGCTAATTACTATCATAAATTGTTTCTCCAGCATCTTTCTAGAGTACCCTATGACTTTTCCTTACATGTCGTTGTTAAGTGTCACCAAGGCTCTACAATTCATAGTGATCTGATGAACACCACCCTGGAGACTTGCCCTCTCCTGTGCCATCCTCATGATCTCAGATATGCCCACGGCTATTGTTACAGTCACTGTGTCAACTCATCTTGTTGGAGGTCTTTCTCTTTTTCTCTGATCCTGTATCTTTCCCAAAGTCTGTGAGATGAAGTTTCATCACCATGGCCTCTAAGGAGGACCGTGACTGCACTTCCTCCAAGACAGATTTGTTTGTTCTTTTGGCCGACCACAGCATATTCAGTACTCTTCTCCAATACTACAATTCAATGACATTGACTCTTCTTGTCATTCTTATTCATTATCCAACTTGAAGGTGCATAGTATTTTTGTAAATTCATAAATGCTGAATATATCTGATATGTTCTGTTAACTTTTCAACCTGGCATGCCCTCACCACATTCACCAATGACCTCCACACTCTTCCAAATTTTTTTCAGATGAAGCATTAATTTTCACAGTTTTGTCAGGTTCTTTCTATATTGACTTCTGAAAAAAATTGAAGCTACTTTGGATTTTAATTTGGGATTCTTCTTATCTATTTACTGTTCTACTCCCTAGTTGATTGTATTCATTCATATTGCTTCAAACCACATGTCACCTATATCCTGAAACTAATGGGCTCCTAAATTTATATCTCAAGCCTGGACTCCTACCCAAAATGCAGACTTTATATTATGGTAACATACCCATATTTCCATCAGTCTTATCTCATAAGCATCTCACTTATCTAAAACAGAAACCATGATTCAAGTCCAATCCCTAATCTATCCTTTATTACATGATTATAGTAATTATTACACTCTTTATTATATTATTTAGTTACACTTGGTTATGTCTTCCTTTTGAATTAGATAGCTCCATGCTGTACAAAAACCTCAGTACGTTACAGAATAGAATAAAGCTCCACCTCATTTCTTATTTCTAACAGGAAAAGCAGGAGGCTATGCTTAGATTAACTAGGCAGGCATCCTAAAGTCTAGCTTTTATTCCTTCATTATTGTTATTGTTAGGTGCTATTGAGTCAATTATGACCCACAGCAACCCTATGAACAAAAGATCTGAACACTGTCTTATCCTGTGCCCTCCCCACACATTAGAGCCCACTGAGGCAGTCACAGTGTTAATCTACTTGGTCAAGGGTCTTCTTTTCTTTCGCCAATCATCTACCCTTCCAAGCATCAGGTTCCTCTCTAAGAAATAGCACTTCTAGCAACATGCCCAAAGTATGTGAGGTGAAGCCTCATCATTCCTGCCTCCAAAGATCACTCTAGCTGAACCCTCTCGAAGATACATTTTATTTGTTTTTTTTGGCAGACTTAAATCTCACACACACACACACACACACACACACACACACACACACACAAATATTCAGAGAGGGAATTTCAAGCAGCAGAAGACAATGGGAGGAATTGAAAGTTGACATTTTAATAAGAAGGGAATTTTGATAGTTTTCAAACAGTACAGCCTGTAAAAAATGAAAATAGAGCAAAGTCTATAAGTTTAGTAGCCCAAATTCATAACTACTTATTATAAAATTTGCATTAAGTAATCACTAAATACTCAAGATTAGAATATTATTACTTCTTTATTTATTCCTTGCATATTTGCACTAGAAACGTCTTCAATTAGGGGCCTCTCCAAATAATTGAGGAAAATGATGTCAGTTTGAGGACTAAGGTGCACCTGATTCAGGCCATGGTTTTTCTAATCACTTGCTATGAATCTGAGAGCTGGACAATGAATAACGATACAAGAAAAAGAATTGATGCCTTTGAGCTGTGGTGTTGGAAAAGAGTGCTGAATGTCCCATGGACTACCAAAAGAACAAGCAAATATGTCTTGAAGTGTGTATAGCCAATGTGCTCTTCTGAGGCTTTGCCTTACATACTTCAAGCATGTTGCAAGGAGAGGCTATTTCTTGGAAAGGTACATGATAGGAACGGTAGAGAGTTGGTGAAGGAGGGGAAGACCCTTGACCAGGTGGATTGACAAAGAGACTGTCACAATGAGCTCTAACATGTCAGAAAGTATGATGATGGTACAGGAAAGGACAGGGTTCAGATCTGTTGTTCATAGGTCACTATGGGTCATATGTAATTTGACGGCACCTAATAACAGCAACATTCCTGCCCATCAAATACTTGTTTAATAAATGAATAGTGAAATAAAATTAGAGTACATTTGAATACTTACCTTGAAACTACTCTAGTTCTTACAGGTGTTTCTGGAATAAAAGGTATGTTTGTAGAAGAGTTCTTCTTTTGTTTATAAAGTATTCTTTCAGCATTCATTTTATGTTTATGAGCTGTAAGTTTGTAGATATTATAAATACGGTCAACAACTTTAGATCTTCTTCGGACATCCTTAAAAAGAAATTTACGTTTATTAGAAACTGGTAATAAATATTACATTTATTATCTCATCTGAAGAAGTAGCATTGCCAATCCAGTTTGAACCCACCAATAGGTCAATGGAAGAAAGATATGCAATCTCCTTCCACAGATTTACAGCCTCAGAAACCCACTAGAGGGTTCGTTATGAGTTGGTTCTGACTCCATGGCAATGAGTTTCAGTTTTTGCAAAGAGTTTGAGTTTTTCAGTTTGATATTAGCAAATCAATTTGAAGAAATAAAATATAAATTGCCTTATGAACTCTAAAAATTAAAAACAAATCTCTCCAAACAACACAAAACAAATTAAAATAACTGAAAATGAAAGTTCACCAAACAAACAAACAGAACTAAAAAAGAAAGTTCATAAAATATAGACTGGTCTAAATTATGAATTCGTTTTCAAGGACATTTCAAAGAAGGCACTATTCAAAAGGTGTATATTAAAAAAACAAGTACTCTAATCAATATACCTATCGTATCCAGTTACCAATCCTGTGTATTTTAGTTCTTTAACATTTCAAAAATTATCTACTTCTCTTTTCCTTTAGCCCTACAACTGGCTTAATCTCTGATTTAGGTAGACAATTATGGATCTCCCACTATCCAAACACACTCTCACAAATACTTTTTTTTTTCAATTAGCAGGATGGTTTCACATTTTTTTCAGAATACAGGCTACAATGCTATCCTGTCCTATGCTGCACTCCACACTACTTGAAAATATCAAGTACTCTAAGTTGTGGCTGAAGAGTTAAGTGGGAAAGATATCTAGAGATAATCAATTAGAGTTCTTACCACAACAGTTTGAAACATGATGACAACAGGGCAACAAATCACAGATATCTAGTTTTCTACCTGGCAAAATATTTTGTCACTTTTCCCAAATAAATGGTAAAATTACAAGGTTGTAATAAATCCTATTTTCAGAATATATTAAGATATAATTAAAGCTTCTTTGTACTGTCACAATAAAGATATTACTTCTTTGTATATTCTTAATTCACTCTACCAGTGTAGAAGACATTTTAGTTGTGATACTCCTAAAGAAATAATGTGAAAGATTTAGAAAGGATGAAAATGCTCAAGTTACTAGGAAAAAAAGAAAAGAAAAAACCACCTCACAGAAAAATAGCCAACTGACACTTACCGAGGCTCGACTTCTGGTCTTCAATAAAAGCGCCAGCAAGCAACAAGTTTTGGTAAAAATGCTTCCACCTTTGTCTGCAACTTTATCCCCAGCCTTTTCTCGGTATATTTGTAAGAGTGCCAATAGTGTATCTATACAATTTTCTACATCATATACTGCTGAAGTAGTTTTTTCATACTTAAACAGAAGGAAATTAAAAATTATAAGTACATATATATACCTTTAAAAGTAATCCAACTAGATAGAAAGCTTTAAGCCAAATCTTGATCTGTATGCATTAGATCAGAAGAACTTCATGAATAACTTTTTTATATTACTCTCATCTCTGTATACTCTCTAAGTGTCTCTCCGTATTTTATTATTTTTTCCCTGCTCATCTGCCTCTAAATTTCTACATAAAAGGAATCTAAAATCTCTAAAACTTTACATATTGAAGTACTTAAAATGGGCTTTTATGATGAGATTATTTTAGTGGAAAACCTGCAGGAATAGAATAAATTTATTAGTCATATGTAAAGATAAATTTAAGATAAAATGTATACACAATCTCTTTTATATCTCAAAAGAGATTGACTCAGAACCTGCCCTATACTAATCCTGTCTCTTTAACATCACAAAGACAGCCCTTTCCCAAAGGGCATCTTGCCAGCAAGCAGAGAAGTCAGGATTTACAGGGCATTTTTATAACACTGACAGATGGGAGGCAGAGTAGGGAGCTTGGGGGCGGTGAGGCAGTGCTGGTGAGGGACCTTGGAGGACAGGCCATGTCTTCTCCATCAGATTGGGAGTTTCTGAAGCAGGACCAGGTCTTTCCCCAACAGACTGGAGGTAAGGAAGGCAGGGATGAGTCTGGGGGCTTCTGAGGTCGGTTGTCTCCGCCTCAGAACAGGAGGAACCCCTGAGGCAGGGACATGGGACCACCAGATCTGCCCCACATCCTTTCCTGGTGTCTTAGCTGCCATGCCATCCCCCCATTTCCCTCCAGACATAGGAAAAGGGGAGGAGGTATTGCTGCTCCAGAGACAGCCCCCACCCAGGGAACCCCTCCCTGGTTTCTTTCTGAGGGTGCTCCATGCTCAGCATATACACAAAATCTCTGTACCATAAAGAATTGGTTGACAGGGAAAAAATTTCAGGAAGTACCATATCAATAAGTTATGCTACCAAGTCCAAGGTGGGTGATTTTAATCTGAAGGCCTCAGGCCTGGTTCAAATTGGTTTTTTGTCAAACATTCTTTTAGGTGTTATAGCACTGGTCTGTGCATTGCTGTACAGAGGTAACTCGTGGTTGCTGTGATGCTGAACACTGAAACTCTGATGTGTCAAATGTGATAATGGTTACACATGGTGGACTGTTTGGTGGAGCTTCCCGACTAAAACAAGCTTGGAAGCAGGAGTGGCATCCAATTCTGAAATGGCTTGCCTCTGGAAACTCTATGAACAGTGCTCAGACCTTTCCTTCATAGGATCATGAGTCGTCTATGACTCAACGGCCCCTAACAACAACAACAACAACAACAACAATACTATGTGTCTTCTTGAAAGGAAAATTAAGTTGTTTTAAAGGAAGATAAATTTTATATTGCTAAGCTAAGACGAATTTTCTAGGCCTCAGCTAATATATATCTTATCATTGCTGTAAGAGGCTGTGATGTCGAGTTATGACTCACAGTGACACTATGAATAGCCAGTCTGAACTCTGCTCCTGTGCCATCCTCATCATCTCTGACACACCAGAACCCATTGCTAAAGTCATCATGTCAATTCATCTCATTGGGAGTCTTCCTCTCCTTGGCTGAGTCCCTCTCCATCTTTCCAAGCATGATGTCTTTTTCTAAGGAATAGCTTTACCTAGTTATATGTCCAAAGTATAAAAGATGATGCTTCACCATCTTTGCCTCTATCTAAGGAGCACTCTGGCTGTACTTTCTCCAAGACATATCTATTTGTTGTTTTAATAGTCCATGAGATATTCAGTACTGTTCTACACCACCACCACCACCACTCAAAGGCATCAACTCTTCTGTCATCCTTATTCACTGTCCAGCTTTCTGATAACGTAGACGGTAATTGAGAAAACGATAGCCTGAATCAGGTGCATCTTAGTCTTCAAATTGTCATCATTACTCTTCAGCATTTTAGACAGATCCCTGAAAGCCGACTTCCCAGTGCAGTATGTCCCCTGATTTCCTGAGTGCTAGTACCAAGTGTGTTGATTTTTTATCTCAAGAAGATGAAACCATTGACAGATTCAATTCTCATTTATCATAATGTAGACTACTGCTCCTTTTGCAAGGTCCCCCTTACCCCTTGATGTTGAGAAGTAATCATACTGAAGATCAAGTCCTTGATCTTCTACAGCAAGAATTTCACATCTTCCTCACTTTCAGCAAGCAAGGTTGTATCATCTGAATATAGGTTGTTGATGAGTTTTCTTTCAATCCTGATGCCAATTTCCTCTGAGTCCAGCATGTATTATTTGAAATATATCACATAGTATTCTATTGATATCTGGGGCCTTATTTTTTGCTAATGCCTTCAGTATAAGCTTCAACTTTATCCTTCATTACCATTGACTCTTGTTCAGATGTACTTCCTTAATAATTTTCAGTGTCAATGAATTCTTTTTGATATAGCAGTCTTGCATATTCCTTTCATTTGTTTTGAAAGTTTCCTGGATCATTCAAGATTGTGTCCATAACATCTCTCAGTATTACAACTCAAAGCTTGGATTAGTTTTTCAGTCTTTTAGCTTGAGAAATGCTAAGTGAGTTCTTTCCTTTATATTCTGACTTGATATTTAGTTATAATTGTTTGCTTTATCTTCCTGCACAGCCCTTTGAAATCTTCAGCTCTTTTGTTTTGGCTTCCTGATGCTCTCATGCAATTTTCAGTATCTTCTGACATCATTTTAGTTTCTTCTTTCTCTCCCTTCTTTGTAATGACATTTTACTTTATTCATGGATGATATCTTTGATGCCCTCACACAATTCCTCTGGTCTTTGATTACTGGTGTTCAATGTTTCAAACCTGCTCTTATGAGACTCTTAAATTCAACTAGGATAAACTCAAGGTCAAATTATGGTTCCTATAGACTAGTTTTAATTTTCTTCAGCTTCAGTTTAAACTTGCATATGAGTAACTGATAGTCTGTTCCACAAATGGCATCTGTTCTGGTTTTTAACTGCAGATAGTGTACTTCTCCAATAATTTTTTCAGCAAATATAGTCAATCTGATCATTGTGCAATCTGTCAGATGATGTCTACTTATAAAGTTATCATTTATGCTCAATAAATGTTGGAGAGGATGTAGAAAGATTGGAACCCTCATACACTGTTGGTGGGATTGTAAAATGGTTACAATCACTCTGGAAGGCAGTTTGGTATTTCCTCAAAAAGCTAAACATACAAGAGTCTTATAACAAAAGTTTATAGAATACTCCTGGGCCTCCACAAAAAAAAAGACTGATAACCCAATTACAAAAGGGGGCAAAAGACATGGAAAGAATTTTCACAGAGGAAGATATGTGAATGGCAAACAGACACATGAAGAAATGCTCCAAGTCACTGGCAATGAGAGATGCAAATCAAAACCACAGTGGTATCATCTCACTCCAGTAAGAGTGGCAAAGTTTAACAGGGCAGCAAGAAATAGATGTTGGAGAGGATGTGCCGAGAAAGGAACTCTTTTATATTGTTGGTGGAATTGTAAAACGGTGCAACCATTCTGGAAGGCTGTTTGGAGCTTCCTCAAAAAAGCTGAACAGAGAAATTTCATATGACCTAGAAATTCCACTACTTGGAATACACCCAGAGAAGATAAGAACTGAGGCACAAACTGAGATTTGTACACCAATGTTAATATTAGCACTATTCACCACTGAAAGAACATGGAAACAGCCCAAATGTCCAACCAACAAACGAATGGATTGAAAAATTATGGTACAATCATACAATGGAATACTATGAAGCTCATAGGAGCAATAACTTTGTAAATTATTACCTAACTTGGGAGGAACTGAAGAGCATTGTACTGAGTGAAATAACTCAGTCCCATAAGGATAAATATTGTATAAAACAGTTATTGTAGAATGAGTATAAGGATTCAGGAGGGCTGGGAGAAGCTGGAAGCAGAGGGAAGCAGAGGGATGTGGATGTGTAGGGGGAAGGGAAGATTGTACAATCTGAAGGGGGATGATGAGGGAAATTGAAAGAATTTGTCCAAATTTGAATTTGAATTTTATAAATAAACTAGTAGAAAATGAAAAAAAATTAAATAAAAATAATCTAAACATAGAAATTCCATATGACTCAGCTGTTTAACTGCTAGGAATATGCCTGGAATTATAACTGAGATACAAAGATTTGTACTCCAATGTTCATAGCAGTGCTATTCACATTCACAAGAACATGCAAACAGCCCATATGTCCAACCACAATTGAATGGACTGAGAAAAGGTGGTACCTTCATACGAAGGAATACTATGCAGCACTCAGGAGCAATGATTTCAAAAATTACTACATAATTTGGGAAAGACTGGAGAGCATTACGCTGAGTGAATTAACTCAATCTCACAAGGAGAAATAGCGCATTTGACCATTGTTGTTGTGTATGGTAGAGTGAGAATCGACCCACAAATGTGGGTTTTCAGAGGCAGTTAATCATATGGAAGTTTGTCCATCTTTCTCCCATAGAATGAGTGGCTGGTGGCCTTGAACCATGTGCCTTGGGTTTGTAGAGCAGCTTCTTGCCAGTAGGCCACCAGAGCTCCTGTAAGACTATCATTGTCAAAATAGAAGGATAACAAGTAAAAGGTATATGGGGTGGGAGCAGTGAGAATGGGTGGGAGTGGGTGAGGAATTACAGGCACAACACAATTTGGTGGGCGGAGGGAAGGAGTAAAGGAAATGGGAAAGATCTGGTGGGGATCTAAAAAGATGGGGTAATTGTGGACAAAGTTCAATGGTGATTGGTTTTACAAGATGCAATGAATGGAAATGATTATATGAAACACAATATAAATGAAGAATAGTGTGTGAAAGACTATGTGTATGAATTTTGTATGCACAATTTTGTATGTAAAATAGAAATATTTTAAAAAGAGAAGTATAGGGAATATGGGGGAAAAGATTTTAAAAAGGTATTTGCTATGAAAAAAATAATTGAGCTCACAAAATTCCATCACTCAGTCTCCAACCTCATTTTTGTTACAAAGTCCATAGTTTCAGAATACCAATCCATTCTCATTGCTTCTACCTTTTGTATTCTCATAACCAATAATTACTAATACATCTTGATTACATGTTTAGTCAATATTGGACTGCAAAATTTGTAGAAACCTTCAATTTCCTCCTCTTTTTAATTGTTGATGTATATATTTGAGTAACAGTCTTTATTAGCAGATCTTCAAAGTATGTGTATGGATAGTACACTATTATACTGCAGTATGAATCTCAAAATTGTCTTTTTTTACTATGAAAACAACACTATTCTTCCTCAGTTTTTCATTTCATTCACAATGAATCATGTGATTGAATGATTCAAAGTGGCTTATGCTTTTCCATCTCAGTTCATTGATGCCTGATTCGACCTTAATGTGTTCTATTTCCTTTTTTACAACATCTATTTTTTCTGCATTATGCAGATGACACAACCCTGCTCGCTGAAGCTGAGGAGGACCTCATGCACTTACTGCAGAGGGTCAAGGACCGCAGCCTTCAATATGGACTGAGGCTCAATGTCAAGAAGACAAAAATTCTCACCACTGGACCAATCGGTAGCATCAGGATGGATGGTGAAGAGATTGAGATTGTTCACAGCTTCAATTTGCTCGGCTCCATGGTCAACACTCTTGGCACCAGTAGCCAGGCAATCAAAAAATGTATAGCCACGGGAAAGTCTGCAGTTAGGGACCTCTCTAAAGTACTCAAGAGCAACAGTATGTCTCTGGAGACTAAAGTGCCCCTGATACAGGCCATGGTGTTTGCAATCACTTATTATGCATCAGAGAGATGGACAATGACTAGGGAGGATAGAAGGAGAATTGACACCTTTGAGCTGTGGTGCTGGAGAAGAGTATTGAATGTACCATGGACTGCCAAGAAAACAAACAGATTCATCCTAGAGAGGGTTAAACCAGGCTGCTCCTTGGAGGCAAGGATTCTGGGGCTTCTTCTGACATACTTTGGACATGCTGTAAGGAGAGACAGGTCTTTAGAGAGGGACATCATGCTGGGTAGAGTAGAGGGACAGTGCAGGAGGGGAAGACCCTCTATGAGGTGGATTGATTCAGTGACTGGGGTAATTGGGATGGGTGTGTCAGAGGCAATGAGATTGGCACAGGATAGAGCACGGTTTAGAGCTGTTGTACATAGGGTTGCTATGAGTCGCAAATGACTCGACGGCACATAACAACAACAACATTTTTTCTACATTCATACTCTGTACATTCCTTGTTCCAATTATTAATGGCTGTTTGCAGCCATTTATACTCATTTTTTTAGTGATTTCCTATCTGTGTTTAACATTTAATACTATAACTACCCACATTCTATTAATGGGATTTTCAAAGGCTTGTTTTGTAAGTGCATGGTAATCCTTCTCCCTAGTCTGTATTAATTTAGGAGTTCTGTTGCAGCTTCTCCTCCATGTGTTACCTTTCAGTTATCTGAGCCACTGATGGTATAGATGCCAGCATTAGAACACCCCTCAAGTTACATCAATACAATAGACTGACAGATGCTGAAAATATAGGCGCAAATAATAACACCCAAATAAATATAAACCTGAGATATAAATTGGCAACATGTAAATCATTCCCCAAATACCTTACTGACAGGTGGTGTACTTTTAAAAGCAAAGCAAAGCATAAAGATAACCAGGTATACAAATATCATGGCATGAGGCACCTTTTCAGACCCCAGCGAAACCCATGGTGGTATGGCAGTTAATAATAAATACTAATAATATTATGACTAATAAAAATAAAAGCAAGACAATATTAACAGATAAAACATATACAGAACTTCTATACATTAAGCAGAGAGTTCTGGTAGTTCTGGTAAGGAATTGCTTTACCAATACAAAGACAACAACTCTAATGCATCAGCTGCTCTGTGGAAGAAAAGATGGCCAGTCTCTTCTTATATGATTTACTACCTCTAAAAACTTGCTGGAGGGTCACCTATGGGTCGGTTTTGATTCAATGGCACACAATAACATACATCTAGTACTATATGTATCTATATAATTAAGATGTAAAATTAATAAAAAATATATAATAAAAACATGTTATTGTTATGTGCTGTCAAGCCAGAACCAACTCAAGGATTACTGTAAAGAATTATATCAAATAATCCATGGGGGAAATAATACTTAACACAGTGCCTAGCAAATAGTTTAAGTACTCAATCGAGATTAATCACCACTGTTAATAATATTATAGATATAAAAATTAAAATTATAAAAAATTATGTCTTTCTTCATGGTTATGCATAGGGTAATTTTTTTCTTTCTCCTAAGACTCCATACGTAACTGAATTTTACTCTTTAGATCTAAATTCTAGTGATAAAACAAGTACAGGTTTAATTTGCAGGCTCAGATTCAATTTCTAATAAACATTGCATTCTTAAAATGTAAAACTACCTTGGCTACATTAAGCAAGACTTGTACAGCATATCTGATGACTTCCATACAAGGAACACTACGATTACAACTTCGGATCAAAACAAATATTTTAGAAATTGCTCCACTCTGGGACATGTTCTCACAACAACGAGGAGACAATCTTGTCACTACCTCTGAAAAGGAAGAAAAGAACATAAGTAAATTCAATGATATTGTGGAACTCCAAGAATCTTTAGGCATTCAAAAATAAAATTTCTGCTCTCATACATACATGGAGGTACATACAAACCCATACATCACACAAGAACTAAAATAAACTAACCTAAGTGTTTTAATGCCTCAAGAATGCCTGAAAGGTGCTTATATGTCAAAAGATAATGAAGTGCGAGCGCTGTTCTTTTGTAAAGTTTGTTTTCTTCTCGGATGTCTCTATTAACCATTTGTAGACTCAGTCGTATATCTTTAATTTTCTTAGAATCATTTTTCTTCCTCCAAACATATCCTCTCCATAATGCCTACAAAAAACAACACACCAAAAAAACAAAAACAAAGCAGAGTAATCTGATGCTTATAATCCAGGATATTCTGAGTTAATATATACATGTATTTCCACAACATGTTTTCACTTAATAAAGATACATTTTGTTTGTAATACAGTTTTGTTGTTATTATTTGTAATACAGTTTTGTGGTTGTGTGCTGTTAAATCAGAACCGACCCATAGCGGACCCTCTGGCAGGTTGTAGGAGCTGTTAATCCCATAGGAGGAGATTGTCCATCCTTCTCCCACAACACCACTTTTAGTTTTAGTAAAATCAATTTTTCTACAAAGACAGACAGACAGACAATGACTTTATACATAAATATAGCAAGCCACCATTCAATGACCAAAGATATCAAAATTTAATCAAACAGATAAAATACTTTTCATCTTTGAATCATGAATATCCTGGCAGAAATGTAAAAACACATTTAGTAATGAAACAGGAAAGTAATATTTATAATTTTTACCAGTTAATGCCTTAACTTAAAATTTCTTTTAAAATGTATATAATTGTTATGAGAGCACTATGCTAAGTGAACAAACTCAGTCTTATAAGGACAAACAGAGCATAAGATCATTACCGTAAAAATAGAATGACAACTAGTAAAATGTGTATGGTGATCCAAGGAGAGGAAGGGGTAGGAGCAGAAGAGTGAGGATGGGTTGGGGGGAAATCACAGGGTCACACAAATCAGTGGGTGGAAGGAGGGGTAAAGGAAATGGGAAAACACTCGGCAGGGACTTGAAAAGACAGGGTAATAGCAGCACATAGTCCAATGGTGGTTTTATAAAATACAATGCATGGGAATGATTGTATGAAATATAATGTCAATGAAGGAAAGTGTGAAACACATATACATAAAAACCAAATGAATGAACACCCTGTATATGAATAATTACATGCATATCAATTAAAAAATGTTAAAAAGGTATATTTTTTAAACAGCTGAATTTAATAGGTGAATTACAAATCAAAGTTTCCACTAAAACCTTGTTCATTGTTAATTACCTGAATTTTAGTGATTCCAAGGTTAATTTTTTCCTGTTTTCTACACAGTAGATAACGGCGTGCGGCCTTCTGTATTACTAACGCAGCCCTATTTTGTTGGTCCAAACATTGTTGAACTTCATGCTGAGTTTTTATTATGCTCTGATATTTCTGAATGAATCTCTTTCGCTGTAATCTTGCTCTAAACCATCTCTGTTTAAAATAAATGAAGATGATTTCATTTTTATTTCATTTTTTAATATAAGAAAGTATAATGTATCTATTTCTATATATACATACATATGTCTAAAAATACAAGATTGGGTAAGAATGTTTAACCCTTCCACTCGTATTCTTAATTTACAAATTTTTTTTAAAAAAAAAAACACAAAAAAGCAATCAAACAGAAATGTGAATATGAGACATTTTGTCATGTTACGATGTCATGTTACATCAATGCCACAATGGATGGAGAGAAGCTTTAAGTTGTCAACTATTTCATCTTGCTTGGATACACAATCAACATCCTTGCTACCAGCAGTCAAGAGATCAAAAGATGTATTGCACTTGATAAATCTGTTGTCAAGGACCTCTCTAAGGTGTTAAGGAACAATGTCAATTTAAAGACTAAGGTGCATTTGATTCGAGCCATGGTCTTTTCACTTACAATGCATCTGAAAGGTGGACAGTGAGTAAGAATGACAGAAGAAGAATCGATGTCTTTGAATTGTATTGTTGGAGAAGAATACTGACTATTCTATAGACTAAAAGGAAAACAAGTATGTCTTAGAGAAAGAGCAGCCAGGGTGTTCCTTGGAGGCGAGGATGGTGTAGCTTTGTCTCATGTATTTTATACATGTTGTTAGGAGGGCTAGTCCTTGGCAAAGGAAACCAGGTTTGTAAAGGTGGAAGGTCAGCAAAAGAGAGGAAGAAACTCAACAAGATGGCTGACACAGGGACTGTAACAATGGACTCAAGTGTATCAGAGATGAGGAGGATGGTATAAGATAGGGAAAGGTTCAGACCCATTGTTCATAGAGTCACTATGAGTTGTAGTCAACTCAATGGCACCTAACTACAACAACACGTAGTGCATTGATGTAAAATTTAAATAAGCAATATTCATGGGGCATAAAAAATTTTGAAGAATTTCTAAATAAGAGTAACCATAAACTAAAACAATAAAGAGGTGCCATGTCTCACTCACTCATCAGAATGGCCAAAGTCTGAAAGTCTTTAGACACTATGCATTGAATGACACGTGAAGAAAAGATGTTTTGCAACTACTTCAGAAAACAACGCACAGCTTTAGTTTTGTGACATGAAGCATCAAGTTTTCTTAACTCATCAGTGACAAAAGGCTACAAGTATAATCTTTCTATAGTAAGCTGTTTACTAAGTTAAAAAAGAAAAATTAGTTTTACGAAAAAGGACAAACTAACCTGAATAGAGATGACAGAAGTGATGTGCTTCTTGGCATTGTTAAGAGCCAGATGACGTTTATAGGCTCTTTGAATCCTAAGAGCAGACAAGTGATAATATGCGGCTGCTGTGAAGTGAAGAAGCCTAATTCTCCCTTTATATTCTGAAATCTAAAAGGGGGGTGGAATTACTAATCAAATATTTAATTCCTAAGACAACTAGCATCTTTTACCACCCATATCAAATTACATAAACAAGCAAAACCACTAAATTAACTTTAAATAATTAAAATTATTTATACTATAATTTAAAGTTATGATAATCTTTTAATATATCCTATTCCTAATAATGAACTCTTACTCAGGATAATGAAAACAAAATTCTATCTAAAGTTCTTTAAAGACCATTATTTATCTTAATAAAACTACCTAATAATATCTAATTAAGATTTTACAATCTACTAATAATAATAAAATAAATTCTTAATATTAAATTGAAAAAGGTGAAGTATTACAAGTAAAACAATTAGAGACAATCCTTTCTAATAGAAAAAAATTAATTCCTTTTTCCAGCATTAGATAACAAACATAGCTCAACTCTCTGTAATTCTCGTAAAAGTGGCTTTTACAAGGCTTAAGATTTCCAATTTATATTTGATTAGTTGTATATAAAAGATGTGTCATTTTTAAATTCAAATTTAATTATTTTGGTTTTGCCAGTAAGTATATTAAACATCAGACATGTCTGATTGGTTTCCAAAGGAAGTCCAAATGTTCTCTATTGCTGAAGATGTGGCAGCAACCACATAGGAAGAGTACTCACAACTCAGTTATTTATAGGTGAAAAACAAGAGGTTTCCTTCACATTCCATTTTTACGTAATTGTGTTGCCAACACAAAGCTGCAGGGTTCAAATCCACCAGCAGTTCTGTTGGAGAGTCCTGTGCAATTTACTGCCTTTGAAAAGCCAATGGAGGGTCAGCTATGGATTGGCTCTGACTTTGATGGGCCACAAAAAAAAAAGATTATATAAAGTATTTCATATTTGTATTTTATATTTTTGGTGGTGAGCATCTGCAAGAAACAGTAGGCTCATAGAAAGAAATTAATGGTAACCAATGCTATTGTGCATGGATCTTTAAAAACTAAATGGGCTCTAGTTAATGGCTACAAAAGGTTGAAGCTATTCTCCAAAATCTAGTACTTCATAACAAATATTTTATAAGACAGAGAAAAACTACTCCTAAGTACTTACTCTTTTTCTTACTAACCACCCACGGGTCATTGCTTGCAGAACAACTGTGGACTTTTTTAATGCAGCGTATCTTATCCTTTCACACTTTCCAGCCTTCCTTGCTCTTAAATGCCTCTGGATGATTAAGGCAGCAGATTTCTGCTGAAGAAAGAGCTGCCTTTCCTTATATCCTCTAAAATTTGCTTGGATCAAACAAGCAGCTTGATGTCTCTATAAGAGAAAAAACATGTAACATTAATAGATAAAAGTAGTAAGATTCACGATCTTGACTCAATCTAAAAGACAGCACAATTACAAACAAATAAAACATTTATTTTAGGTATAAAACTAAAAATATGTCTTATTTCACAGATATGTAAAGTTGATGGTAAAATATTTCTAAACCAGAATAGATCTATAACTAAAAAAAGTTATCATGTAGGTGCTAGCCAGAATGAATAAATATCTGGGTGTTCTTGTCCTGTTCTTAATTGCGTGTATGTGTGTAAGTAAGTTTTTATTGTAATTAAAGTGAAAGTTACAATTTTGTCCAATAAGTATGCATTTGCTTTGTGGCAATATCAACAATAAAGTTCTATTTCCTTCACTTCTTTCTTATAATTCATGGAAATAATCCATAAATCCTCCTATCTCTGATCCTCTTAATAATTTTATTTTCATAATGAAAATATTTAATATTATTACGGGTAAATTGATTTAAAAAAGTGTTATTTGTAATATGGACAGCAAAGATGTCATAAATTATGAAGGAGAAACTTTACAGGTTTAAGAATTGTAGTCTACCACTATAGCATCTTGTTGTTGTTGCTGATTGCCTTCAAGTCTAACACAACTCACAGCAACCCTATGAACAAAAGGCCTGAAGCCCCTCTACAACTATCGACATTTATCAAAGTTCATAGAGTTTCCAGAGGCATGTTATTTAGGAAGTGGATGACACCCTGACCATAAAACTTGACAAAATAAATACGACCTATAAATAAAAGATTTGTTATAAACATAGCTCCCCTTCCTACAAGCAAAGTGACTTTGGGCAAGTTATTTTACTTCTAGGGATCTTATTTCCTCATCTTTACAATGGATATGCCAAGTTGATAGAGTTTCCAGAGGCATGTTATTTAGGAAGTGGATGACACCCTGACCATAAAACTTGACAAAATAAATACAACCTATAAATAAAAGATTTGTTACAAACATAGCTCCCCTTCCTACAAGCAAAGTGACTTTGGGCAAGTTATTTTACTTCTAGGGATCTTATTTCCTCATCTTTACAATGGATATGCCAATTTGATGCAGGGGGGAGAAATGGGAAAGATCTAGTGTGAAAAACAACAAAAAATGTATAGGAACTTTGTAA